CCAAGTCAAGACGTACAGTTAAATTGCGATAAATTATCTGACTTGAACATGAATATCAGTAATAGGTTTGTAATGAAGGCTGTGTTTGAGGAAGTTCTAATGTCACAAAGCTATCTTTGTTTGGCGTTCCTTTTTACTTCGTACTTCCCTTTTTGTTTTTATATATTCATTTTTCCCCGAAAGCTAGAAATACAACATCATATTGTTTTCGCAATTTTAGTTTTCCTTAATCAATCTTTTCCCTTAATTAATTTCTCATTTTGTGAAAAGAAATATTAGGAAACAGACAAAAAATATATTCCAATTTCTTTCCCCCAAACTTGCCCGTATAACTCGGGCCGTTTCCTTTGATGTCAAGGGGTTTCCTCCTGGTTCTCCAGTTTTTTCTCTCTGCTCAAACCCAACCCGCTTAATTCCAATTCAATCTTTGAGTGTGTGCTAATTTAGATCAGCCCAGAGGTTGTTTCAGGGTTCGATCTGTGAGCTAGCCGTGCCCTGACTTAGATCAGACCAGAGGTTGTTTCAGGGTTCGATCTGTGAGCTAGCCGNCCAGAGGTTGTTTCAGGGTTCGATCTGTGAGCTAGCCGTGCCCTGACTTAGATCAGACCAGAGGTTGTTTCAGGGTTCGATCTGTGAGCTAGCCGTGCCCTGACTTAGATCAACCCAGAGGTTGTTTCAGGGTTCGATCTGTGAGCTAGCCGTGCCCTGACTTAGATCAGCCCAGAGGTTGTTTCAGGGTTCGACATGTGAGTTAGCCGTGCCCTGACTTAGATCAGCCCAGAGGTTGTTTCAGGGTTCGATCTGTAAGTTAACCGTGCCTTGACTTTGATCAGCCCAGAGGATATTAAGTCAGGGTACCATCTGTGAGTTAGCCATGCCCTGAGTTAGCCATAGCCCATCAGCTCAGAGGCTTACCCGGGATTGATAAAATTGAGTTTTCTCATGGGAGTTTTAAAAAAGGATTTCTCCAAAGAATTTACCTTTAAAGATTTACGTGCAATGAATGAATGAAGAAGTATTGATGAAAACCAATAGCAATCGTCGTGATTCCGGACTGACAGATCTTTCCTGGCCAAATCGTCGTTTTTATCAGCCAGAAAATGTACTTTCCTGGCTTTAATGTTATTTCAAATATCGAAGTGTTAAAGCTTTTAGCAACCATTCTCTGATTCATGGAAAGTCGCATAGGCCTTCCGTTTGTTCTATTAGTGCTTTAGTTATATCTTTGATTATAATATGTAAGCCTATTAAGTGTACGTAGGTGATCCATGATTGGTGTAACTCAATATACTCGATTAATGGTATTAAAAGTATATTACACCTTACCAAAATACCAAATTTGTGCAATTCTCGCATCTAGATAAATTTTGAACGGATCTTATCACCGCCCGGGAAAATAACAAAAACAATATGGCTGTGTTGCACCTGCTTCAGTTTACCTAAATACAGGAATCGCTCGTCCATTTTACCCTTATGATTTAAAGAGTTTGTATGGTTTATATACAATATCATAAAATAACTATTATGAATGTCGCGTTCTGATTGGTTTAGAGCGCGTGCTTTATGAGAGCACATTGCACGCGCGCGCACTTTCCGTTGCGTCATTCCTGTCTATTATTGTAATTTGTATTTTATAAAAGAAATAAAAAACTTGCTTGCTGTGTTGTGTGCAGTCAATAAAGCACTTGGGGATTGGCAGAACACTCGAGAAGTGTCTAAATGTCTTCTCTCGTGTTCTGCCAACCCCCGCGTGCTTTATGACAGCACACAGCATGTCGAAAACACAGCGTTTTCTATTTCTTCAATAGGATGCACTACACTGCACTACACTAGACTAGGCAGCATTACTCTGCACTAGACCACACTACACTGTACTAGACTGCACTAGGCCGTACTAGACTGCACTAGACTAATCAGGTGCAACACAGCCATATTGTTTTTGTTATTTTTCCGGGCGGTGAACTGGTAACGAGTCTAGTCCCCAAAAAAAGTCGACCAAGTTAAAAAATAGTCGATCAAGTAAAAAAAGTCGACCAAGTTTTAAAAAAGTCGCCAACGGAAAAAAAAGTCGCCCAGATAAAGAAAAGTCGATGGCCCTAAATGGGCTCCGTATTATAGCTTAATCATCATTCAAGTAGTGAATCAATACTACATGGATATTCTTGACAAAAAGACAAAGATATGCATTCATTTGTCATATTTCGTCCTTTTAGTGCACTCAAAAAATCCCATAAAATCGAACGAAAATTCCTACAAAAATCTGTATTTTCGTGTAATTAACGTTTCTAAATAATTTAATATAACGTAGATTTTTAGAAGTTTTTTCGAATTAGCTTACAAAACGTATAGAGGCCCGTGAAAAATTTAGTGTTTTACCCTCAAAATTAAAAACGTGTCTGGTTGTTCAAAAAAAAACGTGCGTAGATTATTTAGCAGTTTTTGAGCGCGCGCTCATCGTGGGCTCATATCGAACGTTTGAATATATAAAACTAGCCAGTCACCTTAAAATAGTTCAATAACCACTTTTTCTACAAGAAACTGGATTTTCGTAAAATATTTTGTCCTTCTATGCGGTCGTCTATGCGTTCGTCTGTCCTATTTTCCTTTTGTCCGTCTGTCTGTGCATCCATCCGTGCGTTCGTGTGTCGTCCATTCGTCTGTCTTTTGTCCATCCGTCAGTCCGTATGTGCATACGTCCGTGCGTTCGTCTGTCCTGCGTTCATCCGTCTTTTCGTCCATACGTACGCGCGTCCGTCCGTGCGTTCGTTTTTCGTGCGTTCGTCTGACCTTTCGTACGCCCGTTCTTGCGTGTGCCATCCCATTCCATCCATCCGTCCACGTTGTTTTCAATGAATCAATCTTAGGTTATATTAATTATACCCTTTCTTTCCCATACGCCTGTGACTCGGTCACCTCAAGCAATGCAACACCTCAAGAAAAACGAATCACGTGCGATCTCACATTATTTACGTTACATTCCAAATTTCTGACAAATAAAACCCAAAATGAATAAATGAATCACAAACCAAAGACAATTATTCAAAAAAAACAATTTAAAAAACTCAAATGAATCTTTTGTGTTATTTTTCTTCAATTTTTTAATTTTGTTTTTGTGTGAACAAGAAAAGAGAACTGTTCTTGAAGTCTGAACTGTTTCCTTCCTTTAGATAAACTTGTCATAAAATTCAAGTCAGTGCTCGACAAACGTTTCCTTTTGAATGATATAGCTAATTTGACTTTTTCCAGAATTATTTAGATGAAAAAGTTGCCCTAGCTATCTTCTGCTCAAAATCGATTGCTTCCAATTTTTTTTTTGTTATATTTTTTGCCTCGAGGCGCGCAATCACCTCACTGAAAAGAAAATGAAGTAATATGATTTGAAAGGGAAATAGGCAGTTAGGGATTATCGGATTATTTATTTTGTTTTTGCAATACTAAATATTTGTATGCAATATATGTTATTCTAAACGTTAGAGAAAAAATTAAAAATTAAATGAAAGAATAGACAACATTTTGATATAACATAGATAACAAAGGTTCTAAAACCATCTGGCGTACATTTCTACTGGCGGAGGTAGTCGATGAGTCTACCGTAACAAAGGTTCTAAAACCATCTGGCGTACATTTCTACTGAAGGTAGTCGATGAGTCTACCGTAACAAAGATTATGAAAAAGTCTAGCGTACATTTCTACCGTAGGTAGTCGATGAGAAACCTTAATTCGGAACTGAAGGGATCGGCCAGGATTCTTTCGATATTCACCTATTTCCAAAAAACGTTGTCATCGTCAAAAACGACTAAGTGATAGCTCATTTTGATATAAAAATAGTTTCGTTGAATACAAAGAAAATTGAATCAGGTTCAGGTCCATGTTGTTGACGAGAATAAGAAGCAGAAACACAAGTCATTCCAGCTATTCTTGGATCATGGAATGACCTATCTCATATCTTTTCGCAAGCCGGATTGGCGATGACAAAAAAGGTGCATACATCTCACAATTCATTAGTAACCTTTGTTCAAAGTATTAAAGCATGATTAAAAATTAATAACTTTTACAGAGTTTTTTTTAGCTTATGAGATCTTTAAGATAGCAAAACGAATATAAAAAACATGAAAATAAAAACAATCTTTAAAAATATGGAAAAATATATTTAAAAAGAAATATAAAAATTGAAAACTATAAAAATGAAATGTAAAGAAAGAAAGAAAAAAAAAGGAAGAAGGAAAAGTAAAAGAAAATATGAAACATTAAACAAAAGGAATAAAACAAATAAAAAAGAGATGGAATTGTGTGTTGTTTTATTCCGTGAGGCTTGACTACGAGTTTAAGAATCAAAAGACATTTGCACAGACATTTGATATCATACCACAGGCAAATCAATACTCGCTAGTTTTCTTTAGCCTCTTAGACGTATCCAAGTATTGCAGGCATCCTGCTTTTCGTATCTTCAGATAACAAGTTTYGACTTTCCTTGGTCTTATCTTTATTTTTATTTTTTGCCCGCATTGCCTTCGTTATTCAGGAACACAAACTGTAGCTTACAAATATAAGTGCAGGCACAATAGTGAATTGTAGTAAAAATTGTGTTTGCAAATCAAAAATTTTTCCTTTGCAGTTTACATTTCATATATTCGCAAAATAACTTTCAAAGTAATGATGAAAAGGTAAATTATACACAGTGAAAAGATGAAAAAACGATGTATAATTTACTTTTTCATCATTACTGTTTCATTAGAAACACCGACGCAGCTCACACTAGTTTTTAGCTAGTTATAACTTTCAAAGTATTGGAGCAATTTTTTGAATCAAAATATAGACTTTCCAACACAGTTAAGCACAAAGCCACAGTCAACTATGAGAATTTGTAATCTTCAAAAAGCATTGGAGCAATTTTTAAATCCAAACATAGACTTTCCAACACAATTAAGAACAATGCCACAGGCATAAGAGAGAATGTGTAGTCTTAGTAAAACTTTGTTTCATAAATCATTTTTTCTTACCTTCTTAGGCTTCTATGGGGTCAATAAACCATCGATGGAACTGATTAATATGAACTGAATATGGAACTGAGCTTGAATATGTGTTTGTAGTCCAAACTGCAAATTGGATACGAGTCCTTCAATTCGTATGCCACCAAGTATTTCCCTGTTTACATTTGTGTCCAAATAACTAAAATCATACCAAATACTATGCAAAACAATTTTTTCCCCTACTCCTCGCCATGCAAGGATTAGTGAGTTGAGAGGAACAGCCGCAATTTAATTCTCGATTTCATTTCCAATTCGAGTAATTATAATTAATTTTCGGTCTTGATTGCTTAAAATCACGATTAATGACATTCCGTAGCTAAGTTTATATTGGTTGTCCAGAGAATTTTCCAAGGAAATGGAACGTATCGGAATAAATTACACGATCAAAGACCCAAATATCATTGTGCGCTTACTATACACGATATTGATTTTATTATTTGTAATAGTTGTAATGTTTTCGAGCGTAGAACAATGAGCCGAAAGAAGAAGAAGAAAAAGAAAGAACTCGAAAGAAAATTATGGACAGAAAAATAAAAAATGAAAAAAAACCAATGCGTGGGGTTTTCAACTTAGGGCAATTGAATTTCTAAGACGATTAATGAGCCCTCAAGTATTTTCAAATTTAGTAAAACAGCTATCGTTGTTAGAAATTGCATGTTAAATTTTTATAAATTGCCAAACAAGTGTAAATTTAGTTCAATAAATTCACCCTTTAAAAGAAAATCTTTGCCATATTTCAGAGATGCATACGAATATTTTCATACAAAACTTTGAAGTCTGGAAATTCATATTTTTGTGATTTTTGAACTCAGTTACTTCCTTGAAACTTCACAGCTTTACCGCTAACATACTCTTATTTTTCTCTGCTTTGAGTTCTGGAGTTATATGATGATAAAAGCTCATTGAAATATAGGACCTCCTAAATTCACGAGATTAGATATCACGTACACAAAAAATTACATCATGAGGGTTTTGCTGTTTTATACTTTTAGTTTATTGTCAACTCATTGATAAACCTGACCAAAAACAAAATGGCCCTCCGTCTTAATTGCATGCCAACTGTTTAACTTTGTAGCCTTCTTTGTTTGTTTGGTTTTGATTTAATTCGTACATTCCCTATCCAGTAATCTTTAACACACACTAGCCACTATTTCAGAGTGGTCACGCTAAATATACGGAAAAGTCGACCAACAAAATGTAGCAGTTATTTTTGGTGGAAATTTAACTTGGCTTTAATAGATTGAAATGGAGAGCTTTGTTAGTCCAGCAGAAATTAAGGTAGTTTTTTTTTTTTTTTTTTTTTTTTTTTTTT